TATATTGTAGATATGTCCACACTGTCAGAAAATGAACTCACTTGCTTAAGTGTGTTGGACAATTATCCCATCCTTTGGCACAAGAGACTTGGACATGCAAGCCTGAGTCAACTCAACAAATTAGTCTCCAAGGACTTGGTGATAGGACTGCCTAACATCAAGTTCAAGGAAGACAAAGTTTGTGAGGCTTGTGCAAGGGGAAAGCAGGTAAGATCCTCCTTTAAATGCAAGAAGGTGGTAAGTACCACCAGAACGATGGAACTGGTCCATATGGATCTCTGTGGTCCAATAAGAACATTAAGCAGAGGTGGAAAAAGATATGTGATGGTGCTTGTTGATGATTACTCTAGATTTACTTGGACATTATTTTTAACATCTAATGATGAAGCATTTGACATGTTCACTTCTTTTGTTAGAAAAACTCAGAAACAACTAGGTAATCAACTTGCATCAATTAGGTCTGATCATGGCACTGAATTTGAAAATGCTAAATTTGCTGAATTTTGTGATGAGCATGGCATAGATCATAATTTTTCTGCTCCTAGGGTTCCACAACAAAATGGAATAGTTGAAAGAAAGAATAGGACACTTGAAGATATGGCTAGGACTATGCTTCTTTCTAGTAAACTGCCCCATAGCTTCTGGGCAGAAGCTGTAAATACTGCATGCTACATCATAAATAGGTGCATGAGTAGACCTCTTGTAGAAAAGACTCCCTATGAGTTACGTAAAGGGATAAAATCAAATATATCCCATCTTAGGGCATTTGGAAGCAAGTGCTTTGTGCACAACAAAGGTAAAGACTCCCTAGGCAAGTTTGATCCCAAAAGTGATGAGGGAGTATTCTTGGGATATTCTTCACATGGTAAAGCTTATAAGGTCTATAACAAAAGAACTATGTGTGTTGAAGAAAGTTTTCATATGGTTTTTGATAAAACTAATATTTTTTCTGAGAGACAGGAACATGATGATGAAGCAATTGTTCTGGTGAAGCTGCACTAGAGGAAGGAACAGGTTCTTCCCCCTAGGGCAACAAGACATGGGGAATAGAACAAAGAGGAAATGATTCTCAAACCTCAATGGAACCTTTCCATGAATCTGTTCCACAACAACAAAGCATTGAAGGAACATCGAAGGGAAACCAGTTGGTTGTAAAATCTTACAAGTATCAAAGTTCTCATCCTATTGAGAACATAATCACTGATCCAACTTCTGGAATCAAAACCAGATCTTCATTAAAAAATCTTTGTGCTTTTGATGCCTTCTTATTTCTTATTGAACCTAAAAATGTTGCTGAAACTTTACAGGATGCAGACTGGGTAAATGCAATGTAAGATGAACTCAACCAATTTGAAAGGAGTCAAGTTTGGCAACTGGTACCAAGACCCATGGACAGATCAATAATTGGCACAAAATGGGCCTTCAGAAACAAACTTGATAAAGATGGAATAGTTACAAGGAACAAGGCAAGATTGGTGGTTCAAGGATATAGTCAAGAGGAGGGCATAGACTATGATGAAACCTTTGCTCCAGTTGCAAGGTTGGAAGCAATAAGGCTCCTTATAGCCTTTGCTGCTTACATGGAATTCACCCTTCACCAGATGGATGTCAAGAGTGCCTTCCTCAATGGCTATCTAAATGAATAAGTGTTTGTCAAGCAACCTCCGGGGTTTGAAAGCAAGCAGAGTCCTGATCATGTATACAAACTTGACAAAGCACGTTATGGGCTCAAGCAGGCGCCAAGAGCATGGTATGAAAGATTATCAAAGTTTTTGCTTGAGCATGACTACAAGAGAGATAAAATTGACAATACTTTGCTCTTGAAAGAAAAAGGTAAAGATCTCTTGGTAGTTCAGATATATGTTGGTGATATAATCTTTGGAGAAACTACTGATAAGTTAAGTAAAGAATTTGCTGAACTAATGGGGAGTGAATTTGAAATGAGCATGATGGGTGAGCTTAATTTCTTGTTAGGCTTACAAAATAAACAAAACTCAAATGGAACTATGATCCATCAGCAGAAGTATGTAAAAGAGTTGCTTAAAAGGTTTAAAATAGAAGATTCCAAAGAAATTGACACTCCTATTGCAACAGCTACAAAGTTGGATATAGATGAACCTGTTCATCTGTTGACCAGAAGTTGTATAAGGGAATGATTGGCTCGTTGTTGTATCTCACTGCTAGTAGACCTGACATTGTTTTCAGTATAGGCCTTTGTACAAGATTTCAGGCAAATCCAAAGGAGTCTCACTTAACTGTTGTCAAAAGAATTTAGAGATATCTAAAAGGCACCACTGATCTTTGTCATTGGTATCCAAATGGTAGTAATTTCAATCTTGTGGGATATGCTGATGCTGATTATACAGGTTTTCGTTTGGATAGAAAGAGCACCTCAGGTATGGCACACTTTATTGGCTCATGTCTTGTGTCTTGGGCTACCAAAAGCAAAATTCAGTGGCCTTATCTACTGCTGAAGCTGAGTATGTTGTTGATGCTTCTTGTTGTGCTCAATTGTTGTGGATCAAACAATAATTAATGGACTTTGAAATTGATGTTGGTTGTATCCCCATTTTTTATGATAACACTAGTGCTATTAGTATGACCAAGAACCCGGTTCATCACAAGAGAACTAAGCACATAGATGTTAGGCATCACTTTTTGAGGGATAACTATGAAAAAGAGTTGATCACTGTGGAATTTTGTGCGACTGACAAGCAAATAGCTAACATCATCACAAAAGCCCTAAGTAGAGATCAATTTGAAAGGAACAGGTTAGAATTAGGGATGATTAAGATCACTTAAAAGGACCAGTTCAGATTTGAAAGCAAAATTGAAAAAAAAATTTGTTTTTGGTTAGAAAATCTAGAAATTGTGTAAATGACTAGATTAATTTTTGCTCAGTCTCATACTTTAAATAGTATACTCTTGTTCCATGTGTTAAAATGACTCATTAATCTCTAATGATAGTTTCTCTATTTTGGCAAATTTAGACATGCACAAGAGGATTTTTAGTGAAGAACCTGGTTCATCTAGATAACACGGTATGTTTTCTACACTCTACATAATTTGAAATAATAATATTTGAATCATGAGCAGAGTTCTACCTAAGTCCAAATTTCTCTTAAACTTATCCAATTAAATTGAACCAGTTTCGTTCAAGAGAATCCTAACCAAATTAAAACACCTAGATTCTAGGGACGACTCCACCGTCTATTCAAAACTGGCATTTCAGTTTGATTAGACTTCTAATTACCCCTTTTTCTTTAAATTTATCATCATCTTCTCTTCCTTCTCTTCATAATTCTCAAACCGTCGAAAATTCTTTCCATCTTCTTTCATTCTCCAAATTTCAATCTACCTCTCTTCCTTCTTCCAGAACCAAGCACAAAATGACTAATCCTTCTGATAACCCTGGTACACACCCACCATGCTCCTCATCTTCAACCAGTCCTCAGCCTAAGAAAAGAATAGTAAAAATACTTGCTCGCAAGACTGTGGCTGGAAGTGCGTTATCAAAGAAATTAAACGTACAACTAAAAGCTAGCCAAGACCAAGAACCCCAGAACTCTGACGACTCCTTCAAGTCTGCAACTGCGGGGGTAGAAATTGGGTCTTCTGATACTGAACAGGTAACCTCTAGCCGAAATACTACTACTGAGGTCATTTCTAAGTTGGCTGAAAATGTGAGAATAGGTTTTTTTTGATTCGATCTATGGTGGATGTAGAAACTTTTAAGTCTAGAAGGAGAGGTGGTAAAAATAAAAAGGAAAAAGAAAAGGAGAGTGAGGGTGCTCGTAGTGAAGAAAGGGGAATGGGTAAAAGAGTGGTTGATTCTTCACCCACTCCTGATAGAATTGCTATTTGTTGAGCAGATAATGTGGAGGAAAGTGTCAAGAAAATAGGGGGAAGTGTGTCTGGAGAAGCTACTGAAGGACTGGTTAAACTTGGGCAGAATGTAGATAAAACTAGTTCATCAGTTTAAGAAACCCTCGCAGAACTATTGAAGAAAGTAGGAGACAGCTACAACCCCAAGAAGAAGAGAACTTCCAAGGCTAAGACCCCTGGCACTGCTAGGGCTAACAAGAAAAGGAAGGTTGCCCCTTCTGACACTGTTGAAAGTCCTCCCTCGCGAGGAAGAACCACAAGAAGTCAGCTAAAGCAGAATGAGGTAGTGTTGCAAAGAACCTTAGAAGAAAACAAAAAGAAAAAGGTGGACAAAGGGAAGAAGAAGGTAGGTGAGCCTAGTAAGGCTGTTGATGTTGATGAGATGGACCTGGTCCATCAAGATGAAGATGTGATTGCAGAAGTAGAGGTTCATACTCCCAAGCCCAGGAAAGCCAAGACTTCCACTAAGAAGTCTACTTCTATGTTAAAGTCTGTGGAACTATCCACTTTGGCAAAAAGGACCAGGTCTGCATTAAAAACCAAACAAGTAAAAATTGCTGAAGAAGAGGAATAGAGTGGAGAAGAGGACGATGAATCAGATAGTGAAAAGGACAAAATGGCCAAGTTTGGCAAAAGAACAATTCTGAAGGGTAGACTCCTCAGGGATTTGGAGGAGGAAGGGATGGTGCTGCTGTCGGAGAAATTAGAATTGCAAGCCTGGAAAGACATGGTCCTTCAGATGGATGACAGGTTGGCAAGGGGTGAAATTATTGAGTTCATGGCAAATACTGAAGTGAAGGATGGAAGGGTTACTAGCCTAGTGAAAGGGTTGCAAATTTCTTTCGATAAAAAGAAGATGGGTGAAATTCTAGGCGTACCTGCTGAGGGGTACAATGATTACATAAAGTTGAAATGGCCAAGTCTAGAAAACCTTCCCACTGCCCTTGCCATCACCAAAAAATTTAGTGACAATGAGGAGGAACATGAGCCCAAGGCTGTATACAAGAGTGAAATGAAGCCGCCCCACAAGGTGCTATTTGAATTCATCAACAAGTGTGTTCTGCCTAGGAAGGAAATGAGGCACATTGCCAACTTCATGGACTTGATTTTGATGGAATGCTTGGATAGTGGGAGGCAGATTAACTGGCCTGGATTTATAGTCCAGCTTCTTGATAGGGTTATCAATGGCTCCAAGGCTCATGCCATTCCCTATGGCTTTATTCTCACAACTGTGCTTGCACATTATAAGGTGCCCATGAAGAAGTGGGAGATGGCTACAAGCAAAGATCACTTTGGGGTTAACACTCCGATTGCTTGTGATTATGAGGTCCATGCCACTCCAAATGAAACTAGTTCATCCAAAAAGGCACCAGTCAATAACAAGGTCAGAGCCTTGGTGCAGGAGAGTGGGGTAAAGGAGGCTGAGATAGCAAGGCTGAAGACACGGTTGGCTGAGGTAGAGTCTGAGAGAGATGCTCTCAGAACTGAACTAAGCAAGGGAAAAGGAGAAGAATGATGGAATTCTTCAAGACATACTGAAACTTCTCCAAGTCAAAAACCAAGACCCTAGTTCTTTCAAGCCTTAAACTCCTAGCCCAGTGTAGACCTTTCAATGACCCAGTTTGGGATGTTTCTTGGTTGCTCATATTTTCAGTATTTTTATTTCTTTTTGTGTTTTGTGGAAGAATCATATCAACTATCAATGAAATTTGATGATTTTTGCTCTAACTTTCTGTTTATATTTCTCTGATAGTTTAAATTCTTAGCTTGATTATTGATGATTAATCCATGAATGCATTTGAAGTAGTTCAATTGTAGTAGGTATTTTCATATTGTACCTTTCAGCTTTATCTAGAGGCAATTGTAATAGGTACTCAGAGTATTCAAGTTAGAGTTAACTTGAAGTTGTCGCAACAGTTAGAGGCTGTGTGCCACAGCGGGATTAGAGTTAATCCTAGGTTTACAAAAGTATTTTGTAAATGTAGTTTTTGGCTCAGTGATTTAGTGAAGAGTTTTGGGAAAATCCTACTGGGAAGTAGGTCGTGGTTTTTTCACCTTTTGAGCCAGGTGTTTCTACGTAAAAATCCTTGTGTTCTTTAATTTCTGCATTTATTATTCCGCAACAGTAGTATAAGGTACACATAGAAGAACCAGGTCCTTCTATAATTTGTGCACGTGAAAAATTGGACACCACACAAATCACCTCCCCCACCTCGTGTGTGGTATTAAAGTAAAAATATCATCATGTATGCTATGATGGGTTATGATTTTTTGGTTATAAGCACACATGGTGTGGTTCTATTTGGGTCTTGTACGGGGATTTGAGCGAGATAGTTATTGGGGTGTCGAATGGTTGATTGCGCCTTGCTTATGTTCTCTCCGGACTGTGGTATTTTTTGCTATTTTCTTCTCCGTGGTTATGGTCATAACTTCGTGTATTTGATGTCGAATTGCGTGTAGTTTTTGATTTTGAGCATGGTGGCTTGAGGTATTTCATATGGACCCGTGTGTGGATGGGGTCACGCATTGCAGCTAGGTTATGTTGGGATATGATCCTTCGTGTTAGATTCATGTGTCTTGGTTATACTATGTAAGATAGGTTTGTATCATTGTTGTTGTGGTGGTACTTGTTGAACATGCGGGATGGTTCTCTCGTTTGAGTCATTTTCCATGATTGAGTACATTTGGGTTGTTGCTTATTGGTGCACGGATTGCGTGGGTTGTGATTTTAGGTTCTATTAATGTGGCATGTCACTAGAGTGGTTGTGTGATGAAATGAGGTCATTGGACCTAGAATGGGTGCTATCGGATTTGTTTGCGGTATATTTGGAAGGATAATGTCGTTGATCGGCATAGAAATTGGCTATAGTTCTTGTCGAAGGAGAATGATCTCCATGACTTGTTGATCTGATAAGTGGTTATGAGTTTCTTTCTTTCATCATTGGCAATGTACGAAGAATTTAGAATGAGGTTTTGTTTGATATGAGGTTTATTACCGGTACCGGGTTTGCTTCGAGCAGTTATTGTGGTAGAAAATTATTGCTATGAGTATTTGAGTTATGTGGTATATCATGTGATAGCATCTTGGGCTATGGATATGGCTTGATACAGCTTGTTCAGACTTATACAATGTGTGCATGTGAGATTCGGGTCTTGTAAGGAATTCCGGATGTTGAAAATTGGGTTCCAAGGTTTATGGGCTAGGGTTGGATTAAGGATATTTAGTTTGGTGGTGTCGTCAGGATTATATGAATTAGGATGACGTGAGATCACCCCCGGGTATGTGCAAGGTAAGGTTACATGGAGATTTGATGGCTTTGGAACTACTCTTGACACGTTCGAGGATAAACGTATGTTTAAGTGGGGGAGGATGTAACGACCCGACCGGTCGTTTTGAGCTTTTGCACTTTGCTCGGAAGTTTGAGGGTATGAGTAGCTCTGTATGATGTATTATCACTTGTGTGAATCGCCGGTTTTGGTTTTTAGGTTATTTGGAATCAATTTGGAAGAATAAATTTCATCGTTGAAGCTTTAATTTGGAAGAGTTGACCAAGTTTTACTTTTGTGAATTTGACCTCGAAACGAAGTTTTGATGGTTCCGTTAGGTCCGAATGATGATTTTGGACTCAAGCGTATGCCCGAATTTGCATTTGGATGTTCCTGGAAGGATTCAACGCTAATTGACAAAAATTAGAAATTTGAAGGTTTGGAAAGTTCATAAGTTTGACCGAAAATTGACTTTGTGGATATCGAATTCGGATTGTGCTTCCGGGAATTGGAATAGTTTCATTATGTCATTTGGGACTTGTGTACAAAATATGAATTCATTGCGAGTTTTGGAAGTTGAAAGTTCAAAGTTCATTTAAGTTTGATTTGAGGTGCGATTCGTTATTTTGATATTGTTATGAGTGATTTTAGGTCTCGAGTAGGTTCGTGTTATGTCATGGAACTTGTTGGTAAATTCGAACGAGGTCCTGAGAGGCTCGGGTGAATTTCGAACGTGGTTCAGATCATTTTTCATCTTGTTGCATTGTTGAAGATTTGCTGGTACTGGTGTGCCGTATCTACGGAGTCTTGGTCGCAGAAGCTACTTCGCAGATGTAGGCTGTCCATCGCAAAAGTGAGAAGAGGCTGGGTGAGGAAGATCGCAGAAGCGAAGAATTTGGCACAGATGTGAGTGTGCAGGTGTGACGAATTGGAGCATAGGCGTGAAGGTGTTCGCAGAAGCGGAGTCTTGCTACCGCAAGTGCGAGGGGTGCTGGGCCAAGTTGCTTTCGTAGAAGCGAAGCCTTTTACGGCATATGCGGAATTTCTGGGCAGAAGCTATAAAATCGAGGTTTTTGGTTCTTTTATCATATTTTGAGATTTGGGGCTAGGGGTGAAACAATTTTAGAGGTAAATTTCATCACAAGGATTGAGGTAAGTGTTTTATACTCAGTTTTGATTATATTTCGTGATTCTATCTTAGTTTTTGGTAATTGGATTATGAATTTTAAACGGAAATTGAGGGGTTTTAGCCTAAAGTTTCATAGAGTGAGTTTTTGAGTTTTGAACATCGATTCAGAGTCGGAATTGTGTGAAACTAGTATGGTTGGACTCATAATTGAATGGGTTGTCGAATTTTATAAGTTTCATCAAGTTTTGAGGTGCGTGCTAGGGTTAGACTTTTGGGTTGATTTTGGGCTTTTGATTAAAGATTAGAACTTTATCGATTGGGTTTGTTTCCTTTGGTAGTATTTGATGTATTTGAGTTGCTTTGGGCTTAGTTTCGAGTTGTTCAGAGGTCGGTACACGCGAGATGGCATTTTTGGAGCATCGTTTGGCTTGCTTGGTATTGGATTTGGCTTGTTCGAGGTAAGTAACACTTCTAAACTTGGTGCTGAAGGTATGAACCCCTGAATATACATGATATGTATTTAGGTGTTGAGGTGACGCACATGCTAGGTGACGGATGTGTGGGCGTGCACCGTGTGAATTATGACTCGGTTATTTTTGTGGTATTGTATAGTTACCTAATCTTGTTTTTATCCAAGAGATTTCTACGTGTTAGAGTAATTGAGTTGTGATCCATGTTAGAAATCATGTTTAGGCTATATGTTGATTCTGTTGGGACCCACTGACGTTATATCTGTTGTGGAGTTATTTGCTTAAATTGTAGTTACATACTCAGTCATACTCATTCATCTGCTGTGGAGTTATTTGCATATCATATCTCAATCTCTATTGTTATTTATTAATACATCATATCATTATTTTGGGCTGATTTACATGACATTGTGAGCCCGAGAGATTGATGACTGAGTGAGGTCGAGGGTCTGTTTGTGAGTGATATTTATGGGAGCGGGCTGCTCGCCGTAGGATGTTATTTTGATTTATGCCATGATTTTATTATTATAGCGCTTGGGATGAAGGAGACCCTTCGGAGTCTGCACACCCACAGTGAGCATAGGTACCTATTGAGTGCGAGTGCGAGTGCCGAATGATTGGGATGACTAAGTGATTGTGAGGATTGAGTGACTGGGAGGAATGAGTGGATTGATACTATAAGAGTATGCATATGGTTGTTCACTATGT